AATTAATTTTAATAGTAAAACCATATGGTTAATTTTTGCAAGAGAAGTTGTAAAGTAAGTTAGCCAGCTTACATGCTTTCACAGTTACAGTAACTGTGTATTTTCGTCAGCTTATTTAGGCTAATAATAAAAAAAAAAAAAGAAAAGAAGAAGAAGCAAAGGAATCGTATGATTTGCAGCGCGTTTCTTTATTTGTTTGTGTTGTGAGTATTTGCAGCGCGTTTCTGTTTTTACAACGCGTTTCTTTATTTGGTTGTGTTGTAAGTATTAGCAGCGCGTTTCTGTTTTTGCAACGCGTTTCTTTATTTGGTTGTGTTGTGAGCATTTGCAGCGCATTTCTATTTTTGCAGCATGTTTCTTTATTTGTTTGTGTTGTGAGCATTTGCAGCGCATTTCTGTTTTTGCAGCGCGTTTCTTTATTTGGTTGTGTTGTGAGCATTTGCAGCGCGCGTGTTGTCAAATTTATGAAGATGTTTTCTTAATTTGCAGGTGTTTTTTCCATTTGCATGTGTTTTTTTTTTTCATTTGCAGCGCGTTGAGCTCTCTCGGTCACCATACAGAACTGTCTAATGCAAACTGTACACAGAAATGGCTAGTGTTGTCAAAATCGTAAGCTCCAAGCTTCATCACTGCATCTTCATGCACTTTCGATAAAATGGGGTACATGGATCATATCATATTAAAACTGTAGTATATACTGAACTGTAGTATATAAACATACTTAAAAACTACTAAAAATGACAAAAACACACAACAAAATTACTAATACTTTAACTAAAATATACAAATATAAACTGATTCAAAATATTAATAAAAACTATAATAGTATCTCAGTTATACTAAATTAACATTGGTCATGATTATTATTTTAAAACAGGCAAAATAGTACAGGTTTACAATTACTGGTTATTGCCAGAATGAACGAACGAAAAAAAAAAAAGAAAAAAAAAATCCTTTGTTTGAAGAATTATTAGGAAAAAGTAAACAAGATATTGTTTAACACCTATATTTAATTTAGTTCTCAGAATTACATCCGATTTTAAATGTACACTGTTGTTTGGTCACTATGGATGTGGGTGAAAAGGCTTGATATATAGTAGTTATTGGCCCAGATAAGCTCTAAAGTGAACCAGACATTATGCTGACTGCACCAGTTATGTGAAACTAACCAACAGGTGAATCCTGTCAAAATATGCTTAGCATTTTAGTCTCATAATACAAAGATTTGTTTATATACAGATAATAAACAGACGTTCTTATCTTCTAGTTTGACAGCAGACTAGATGCAGGTTATATGTAACTGACAGGCTGCTATGATACCGTCTGGGCCTCATCAGTTAGAATCACTCCCAGTCATTAATCTCTGCTCTCAAACAGCACAGACAAAAGCAGGAAGCAACTCATTGATCACAGAATGGTGATATAAGGTCCATCAAACACTGAATCTCATTCATCACCTGATCTGAACTCTGTTAAAGCCCTCAAAGTGGTGTCAAAAATGGTGTCACATTCATATAAATCACTTCGATTAGAGTTTCTGTTAAAAAATGTATGGTTCCTATTATCACATGACACAGTGAAGGAGACCAGAAATGTAATGAACTCCATTTTCTAACACTTTGCCAATATCCCACAGTTACGGAAAATGTCACACATTCATTTAAATCTTGTCAGAGCTTCTTACTTTCTTAAATGAGCTTTCCTCTCAACCCGTCAGCACTTGGCTGTTTCATAGCCTGTCAGAGACCTAAAATGTGTGGAAATCCACTAACTCTACTGCTTAAAGACACAGAACTGCTAGTATTGTGAATGTACACATTTAAAATATTGCAGGAAGTGTCCACAAACACTTGCTGTAATCAGTAATGATGTAAATGCATTGGTGAACTCTATTTGTTTGAGTCATGACAGGAAGTCTTACCTGTCTTCCCCTTGCATCTCTTTGACCCCTTTCTGAACGACGTCTTGAGCAGGTGTCATCTCTGGTGGGCGTCCAACATTTCGAGAGTAGAGGTCGACATTCCGAGAGTAAAGCCCTCCGTCTGTGTGGTACCTTATGATTAAACAACAAATTAACAGTGAACTATTATCTGCGAGCATTTGTCATAGGATTATATAAGTGAGGTTACATATACATACCGATATATATATATATATATATATATATATATATGACAATTTAAGAGCTGAATTAACATTGCTTTATATTCTGAAATGTAAAATAAATATTTAATTAAATGAATATAAAACATCAATTTGTAAATGCACCAGTGTGCAGGCATTTTTAGTGTTTT